GCATCTGCCATGGTGTCTTGAAGATGCCTATCAGGCTTCTAAGGCTCTTTTTTTTAAAAAAAAAAATGTTTTATTGTGAATTATGTGATGGTTTACATGAGAGAACATTAGTTTTACATTCATCCTATCGTATATCGTTTCATTGCCATGGTTACAATCCCCTCCATGCATCATCAACCAATCAAAGGGTATATACTACAAGCCTGCCCCCTGGTCGTCAGCACACAGCCCCTCTCCCTCTCTATGTCCAAAGTCTCCAGCTGCTCTGTCTCTCCATGTCATCGTCTCTGCCTCCATCTCAGGCATCACTGCTTCTCTGGGTAGGGTCCCCCTCTCCGCTCTTCTCCCTTGATGGACCTCCACTCCTAGATTGCAAAGTTAATCACTCCCCTCCTTGCTACAAAACATCTACCTTTACGTTTCCAACCCTCACAATCAGTCTTGATAACAATTATTCACTATTGTATCACAAGAGACCTATCCGCTTCTAAGGCTCTTCTAGATGGGCTAGGTTCTGCTTTGGGTCCTAGGGCAGTGTGTGAGATGAGGCAAGGTTTCTTAGTACTGGCTGACCTGGAACTAATGAGGGTCAAAGGCCACTTCCTCTTCCTGTTCCCTGGCTCTGTAACCCATTCTGTGGCCCTGTGATCCTTCCTCTTTGTTTCCAACCTTTGCATTCCAATAATCTAGTCTATATCCTGAGTAGAATACAAAATAGGAAAGGTTGTTTGGAAGAGGCCCTGCCTGAGGGAGGGGACTTGAGCAGCTTCCCCTCCTCACAAACCTCAGCCTAAGGCCAGTAAAGATCCTCAAGCAAAATCCTTCTCTCAGCCCCGCACAGGGTTCTGGGCTATTCCTCTGATAGGAACTATATGTATTGGACCAGGGGCTCTTCTTCCAGAGCTAGGCTGGGATCAAGTATGTGGCAGTCAGTCCTCCACTCTAAAGATCACCTTCTGGTGTCAAACCAGTACTGGGGCTAGATGAAGCCATGATTACGACAGACAGACAAATGGGGCTAGCATGCATCATTGAACCTATAGGTTCAATAGGTCATTCATTATAGGTATGACATGGGTATCAATGTTGGAGTTCCCAAAACACCAGGAACCAAATCAAATTTACCTAATCCCAGCTGCCTGTTTAGGAGTGGAGGTCCAGGAATCCCAAAGTCCTGAATGGGTAATGCCTTTAGCAGATCTGATGCTAGCAGGGGTATGTCTCCAGAGTTGGGGCTTCTCCTTGGCAGATCTGAGACCCTGCCCTGGTGTACAGTGGGTGATGGGGAGAGACATTACACTGCAGTTCAGAGCAGGGTTCTAGTCCCATTGACACCTGTGCCAGCTCTCACCCCCTGGGTGCAGAGTCCCTGGCATCTTTCTCCTGCTGCTCATTCCAGGTGCCACTGTTGTTGTTGTTGTTGTTGTTGTTATGTGCCATTGAGTCTGTTCTGACTCATAGCGACTCTGTACAAGGTTTCCAAGGCTGGAAATCTTTATGGGAGTAGAAAGCCTCCTCTTTTTCCTGAGGAACAGCTGGTAGTTTCGAACTGCTGACTGATTTGTAGCCCGATTTGTAACCACTATGCTACCAGAGCTCCTTCAGATGCTACTAGGATGGGCCAATATGGGAATCATGGTGGTGGTGTGCCACGGAGTTTGTTCCAACTCATAGCGACCCTGCATAGAATTTCTGAGGCTGTAAATTTTTATGGGAGCAAAAAGCCTGATCTTTCTCCTAAGGAACAGCTGGTAGTTTCATACTGCTGACATTGAGGTTAGCAGCCCTACCCATAACCACCTAACCACTACTCTTACTTGTTGTTGTTGTTGTTAGGTGCCATCAAGTCGGTGCTGACTCATAGCAACCTTATGCACAGCAGAATGAAACACTGCCTGATCCTGGGCCAACCTCACTACTGTTGGCATGCTTGAGCCCATTGATGCTGCTACTTGGCCAATCCATCTCACTGGGGGTCTTCCTCTTTTTCTCTGACCCTCCATCTTACCAAACATGATATCCTTCTCTAGCGACTGGTCCCTCCTGACAATATGTCTGCAGTTTGAGAAACGAAGTTTGGCCATCCTGGCCTCCAAGGAGTATTCCAGCTGTACCTCTTCCAACACAGATCTGTTGGTTTTTTTGGCAGCCCATGGCACTTTCAATATTCTCCAACACCATAACTCAAAAGCGTCAATTCTTCGATGGTCTTCCTTAGTCACTGTCCAGCTTTCGCATGCATATGAGGTTATTGAAAATACCAGGGCTTGGATCAGGCAAATACCAGGGCTAGTCCTCAAGCTGACATCTTTGCTCTTCAACACTTTAAAAAGGTCTTAAATAGACATTAAATGGCTTATAAAATCAATTTGCCACAAGGAAAATTGGTTCATTTTTGGTATCTTCCTTTACTCACGTGCCCACGTGTATGTATGCATATACGTGCACATGCACACACAGTATACCTCCCAAACTATTTCTTATGGCTTCAAAGCATTTAATTATAATTAAGTATAACTTAATCCTATAAATCTTCATATCCCTAAATGTGTAAGTGATATAAAAGCAAGATATTTCCTATTATATGGTACAGACATTAAAATCTTTAGTGAAGAGAAGCTCTATCATGGTTACTTTATGAATAGAAACACCAATATGACTGGTGTTATCAAAGATTAAAACTGGCATTTTATCTGTGAAGTCTGAAGTCCTCATCCTGCGTATTTCTAAGATAGGGTGGGAAACCTTTTTTCTGCCAAAATTTATAACATCATTCATGGGTCATGCAAAATTATCAACTTAAAAATTAGCCTGCTATATTTGGTCAAACATTTAATTAATTCACTCCTAATGTGATGACTGGAACTGCAGTTGCCTTGGCAGGGCCAGAGCAATTGATTTTGAGGGCATGTCGCTATGTGTTGGAACCGACTTCATGGCACTCAACAACAACAACAACAACAACAACATAAGGTTCGAGAGCAGAACGTTCCCCACCCCTGATCTAAGACTTGCAAATACCTGTAAAAGAGAGGGGAGAGAACTTAGAGTCAGGGTGTATCAGAAGCATAAAGTCTCTCGGAACACAACTTAATTACTACTATTTTGCTAGATTCATCCCCAATAAGAGACCAAATTTTCTTTAACTGTTCTTTTATTTTTGCCTTGTTTTAACTATACTTACGGATTAGATAAAGCCCGAATCCCAGCTTTAGACTCTTATCTTTCTTGCCAGCTGCTAGTTATCTTAACTTATCTCTAGGAGTCCTGATATGGCACTGTAGGATAAGCCCTGGACTGCTAACCACAAGGTCAGCGGTTCAAACCCACCAACTCCTCCTCAGAAACCCTATACAAGATCGCTATGAGTTGGAACTGACTAGATGACACTTAACAACAACAGCAACATACCTGTGGTTATAATTCCATTTGAAAATCAATTCTTTTGAGATATAAAAAACCAACTGACAAGCAAGCAGAGATGGGGAAGACAGGTGCCACACTACATGAAGGTCATCGCCAAGGAACCGGGGAAACAGAAGTGGAGAAGAGACAAAGACCTTCCTCCAAAGCACTTGAGAAGAAAGCCCCCATTGTGGTATTGTTGTTATAACAGCACTGTTGTTGTTGTTAAGTGCCATCAAGTTGGTTTCGATTCATAGTGACTCTGTATAGGGTTTCCGAGGAGTGGATGGTGAACTTGAACCACTGACCTTGCGGTTCCAACCAAGTTTGCAGTCTAGCGCATTAACCCACAGCATCACACTAGAATTTGGGCCCCTACTCTTTCTCTCCTCCAGACCCTGTACTGCTTGTAGACCCCCCTCACACACACACACAGAGTTCTCCTTTTTTATGGCGGAAGTGAAAAGTTCTCTATGGGGTAAGGAAGGGACCCTTTGTTTTAGTTTGTCATTTGATTTTAATTTTATATAGGGTACATTTTAAGGGTGGGGAAGTTAATCATTTGGGGGCAGTAAATCAGTCTTTTCCTCCTTGTGCCTTTTGTGTCATGATTTGAAAGGCTTTCTCATCTTCAAGTTACAGAACTAGCCGTTGTCTAATTTCTTAGTTCTGGCTGCTATAGCAGAAATACAAGTGAGTGGCTTTAACAAAACAGAACTTCATTTTCTCACAGTTTAGGGAACTGTAAGTTCTAATTCAGGGAGTCAGCTCCAGGGAAAGAATTGCTTGCTTTTTGGCTGCTCTGGAGGAAAATCATTGTCTCTTTTCAGTATCCATTCTCAGTTCCTTGGCAATATTTATGTGGCATATACCTTTCCCTCCTCTTGTGTTTACTGTCTTCTGTGACTGATCTGCTCTTTGATCCATACACCTGCAAAAGCCAGAGGGTGTGTAAGGTGGAAACCTGTCAGAGAAGGAAAATGAAAATATTTTCCACTAATGGTGCTGTACTGAGAACCACAAGGTTGGCAGTTCAAATTCACCAGCTGCTCCTCAGAAAACCCTATGCAGGGTCATTATGAGTTGGAACCAACTCAACTGCACTTAATAACAACAATAGAAAGTAGTAAGAATTACACACTATCAAAGGCTGAAAATTTGAGAGACCACGAAAAACAAGGCGGTCCCATGGAGTTCAGGCTCTCACAGGTTTCACCCCTATGTCTCAGGAACTGATTGGTTTAAGACACACCCTGTACTGACCTGGAGTCCTGATGTGGCACTGTGGGATAAAGCACTGGACAGCAAGGTCAGTTTGAACCACAAGGTTGGCAGTTGAAATTCACCACCTGCTCCTTGAAAACCCTATGCAGGGTCACTATGAGTTGGAATCAAGTCACGAGCACTTAACAACAATATACTGACATGGTCTTATTAACATAACAGCGAAAAACCCTATCCCTAAATGAGATTACAGGTATGGGGATGAGTATTTACAACAGTAAATTTGGGGGACACAATTCAGTTCCACACAGTCATGTAAATATTTTTTAATGCTGTATGGTATTCATCAACCTCCTCTCATTTCCTTGCAGAAAACCGAGTGGCTTTGTCTGAACTGCCAAACTAAACGATTGCTGGAGGGCAGCCTGGGAGAGCCGACCCCGCTGCCGACCCCGCTGCCGGTGCCCACCTCACAGCAGCCTCCTGTAGGGGCCCCTCAACGTGCAGCTGGACCAGCCCCTCAGAAACAGAAAGGGCCACCAGGGTTGGGCCAACCAGCAGGCCCCCTGCCCACCAAGGCCAGCCCACTTCCCACCAAGGCCAGCCCCCTGCCTGCCAAGGCCAGCCCCCAGGCCAAGCCCCTCAGGGTTTCTGAGTCCAGCAGGACCCCAAGCAGTGCCCAGGAGAAGAAGGCAGGAGGCCCAGCTAAAGCTGAGTCTGTGCCGAAGCCACCTCCAGAGACTACCCTGCCCCCTGGGACTCCTAAAGCAAAGAGTGGGGTGCGGAGGTCTGAGCCTGCCACCCCTGTCAGCAAGGCTGTCCCAGAAGCCCCCAAGGGCGGAGAGGCAGAGGTCAGTCCCATTCATATCCCAGGGACCCTAGCTCTCAGGTGGGATAGTCTAGGGAAAGTCTTGCCTCCCCTGGGGGCTGAAGATGAAGGCCTGGGGCATATCTCTTGGGGCCGCAGGGGAGGTTAGCGATGCGTAAGCACAAGGAAAGCCTGGATTCAGCTCTGCTGGATCTGGGGCCTTGGCGTTCCAGCCTGGCTCTGACTCTATTGGCTTGCTGGATGCTTTGCTCGGTCTTCCTATCATTGCATATAGTAAAGTTTCTCTTTGAGAACCTAGGGCTGCCTAGGAGCTTGCCACAAGGCCAGAAAGATGGAATGGGTGGGAAGTGGAAGTGCCCTTCTTCAGGGCCCTGGTATTGATGGGGGAAGGCTTGGCTCCCCAGTGAGCTGTTTGCCACAGGGAGTAAGTACCTGCTTCTCTCCCTGCTGCAGGAGCTTGTGGGCAAGCCTTATTCCCAGGACCTGTCGCGAAGTCCTCAGAGCCTCAGTGATACAGGCTATTCCTCTGACGGCGTCTCCAGCTCCCAGAGTGAGATCACCGGTGTTGTGCAGCAGGAGGTGGAGCAGCTCGACAGTGCAGGGGTGACAGGACCACGCCCACCCAGCCCCTCAGAGCTCCACAAGGTGGGGAGCAGCATGCGGCCCTTGCTGGAGGCCCAAGACCTGGCCCTCAGGGTTGAGCAGGCCAAGCCACTCAGTAGCAGAAATGTTGAGGAGCAGAAGCGTCGGCCACACTCCTTGTCCATCATGCCTGAGGCCTTTGACTCTGATGAGGAGTTGGAGGATATCCTCGAGGAAGAGGAGGACTCTCTTGAGTGGGGACACCAGAGGGAACATCAGGACACGGCTGAGTCCTCAGACGACTTTGGCAGTCAGCTGCGGCATGACTATGTGGAGGACAGTAGTGAGGGTGGCCTGTCCCCACTGCCACCCCAGGCCCCAGTCCGGGCAGCAGAGCTGACTGATGAGGAGTTCATGCGACGGCAGATTCTGGAGATGAGTGCCGAGGAAGACAACCTGGAGGAGGAGGAGGAAGTCACCTCTGGGCATGGCCTGGTCAAACGTAGCACCCAGAAGGGTGGCAGACCCAGAGTTGAGCCCAGTCAAGAGACAGTAGCACTCCCCAAGAGGCGCCTGGCCCACAATGCCACCACAGGCTATGAGGAGCTGCCCTCTGAGGGAGGCCCAGCTGAGGCCACTGACAGCAGTGGAGCCCTGCAGGGAGGGCTCCGCCGATTCAAGACCATTGAGCTCAATAGCACAGGCAGCTATGGCCAGGAGCTGGACCTGGGTCAAGTTCCTGACCCTGGTTTGGACCGGGAGCCTGAGCTAGAGATGGAAAGCCTAACAGGTTCACCTGAGGACCGCTCCCGTGGAGAGCATTCTTCAACCCTGCCTGCCTCCACGTCTAGCTACACGTCAGGTACCTCTCCCACTTCCCTGTCCTCACTAGAGGAGGACAGCGACAGCAGCCCTAGCCGCCGGCAGCGGCTAGAAGAAGCAAAACAGCAGCGCAAGGCCCGACACCGGTCCCATGGACCCCTGTTGCCCACCATCGAGGACTCCTCTGAGGAGGAAGAGCTGAGAGAAGAGGAGGAGCTACTTAGAGAGCAGGAGAAGATGCGGGAGGTGGAACAGCAGCGCATCCGAAGCACAGCCCGCAAGACCCGACGGGACAAGGAAGAACTGCGGGCCCAGCGGCGACGTGAACGCTCCAAGACGCCGCCCAGCAATCTGTCACCCATCGAAGATGCCTCCCCCACAGAGGAGCTGAGGCAGGCAGCAGAGATGGAGGAGCTCCACCGCTCCTCCTGCTCTGAGTACTCACCTTCACCCTCTCTTGACTCAGAGGCTGAGGCCCTGGATGGCGGCCCCTCCCGGCTTTACAAGTCTGGCAGTGAATACAACCTGCCCACCTTCATGTCTCTCTATTCACCAACTGAGATGCCCTCAGGTGGCTCCACTACGCCCAGTTCTGGCCGACCTCTCAAGAGTGCTGAGGAGGCCTATGAGGAGATGATGCGAAAGGCTGAGCTGCTTCAGCGGCAACAAGGCCAGGTCTCAGGGGGCCGGGTGGTCCCTGGTGGCCCTTCTCAGCCCACAGGCCCTCGAGGCCAGGGTTCCTTTGAATACCAGGACACCTCGGACCGTGACTATGGCAGGGCTGCTCAGCCTGTCTCAGAGGGCATGTCAGCCACCCTAGGGACAGCTGTATATGAGGAGATCCTGCAGACATCACAGAGCATTGCCCGGATGCGGCAGGCTTCCTCACGTGACCTGACCTTCATTGAGGACAAGAAGAAAGAAAAGCAGTTTCTGAATGCTGAGAGTGCGTACATGGACCCCATGAAGCAAAATGGTGGCCCTCTTACCCCCGGGACCAGCCCCACTCAACTTGCTGCCCCTATGTCCTTCTCCACCTCCACCTCCTCAGACAGTAGTGTGGGCCGAGTCATCCCTGATGTCCGTGTCACTCAGCATTTTGCAAAAGAGCCTCAGGACCCCCTCAAACTGCACAGTTCTCCTGCCTCCCCCAGCTCTGCTTCCAAGGAGGTAGGCATGCCCTTTTCCCAAGGCCCTGGGACCCCAGCAACCACAGCTGTGGCTCCCTGTCCTCCTAACCTGCCACGTGGATATATGACTCCAACCTCCCCAGCAGGCTCCGAGCGCAGCCCTTCACCATCTTCCACAGGCCACAGCTATGGACAGAGCCCAACCACTGCAAACTATGGTTCCCAAACTGAGGAGCTTCCCCAGACCCCCAGTGGCCCTGCTGCTGGTGGGCGGGCTGCCAGAGAGAAACCTCTTGTAAGTGATGGCCAGAGCAGCATTTCCCAGCCCTCCCGGGGATATCCCTACTTTATGGGCTCCAGCCCGCCCCTCTCCCCATCTTCCCCCTCAGACAGTCCCACTTTCTTACCTGGCAAGCTGGGCCCAAGGGCCACAGCAGAGTTTTCTACCCAGACACCAAGCCCAACCCCCACCTCGGACATGCTGAGAAGTCCCAGTGCCTCCACCACAACCCCCATGGTGGCCCAGGGTACACAAACACCACACCGACCCAGTATGCCTCGCCAAGTGTGGCAGAAGTCCCCTCCGGAGGCTCCCTTTATGGTCATCACTCTGGCATCAGATGCTTCCAGTCAGACCAGGATGGTCCATGCCTGCGCCTCCACCTCCCCAGTGTGCTCACCTACTGGCTCTCAGCCCACTGCCCACAGCTACAGCCAGACAACACCTCCGAGTATGGCTCAACTACCCCCAGAGCCACCTGGGCCACCAGGCCTCCCTCGAGCCCCCAGTGCTGGTTCAGATGGACCCCTGGCATTATATGGCTGGGGTGCCCTGCCTGCTGAGAACATCTCTCTATGCCGGATCTCCTCCGTCCCTGGGACATCTAGGGTCGAGCCAGGCCCCAGACCCCCTGGCAGCGCCGTGGTAGACCTTCGCACAGCTGTGAAGCCCACACCCATCATCCTGACTGACCAGGGCATGGACCTGACCTCACTTGCCGTGGAAGCAAGGAAATATGGACTTGCCCTGGATCCCATCCCAGGACGGCAGTCGACCGCTGTGCAACCCTTGGTTATCAACCTCAATGCCCAGGAGCAAACCCATGCCTTCCTTGGCACTGCCACCACCGTGAGCATTACCATGGCCTCCTCTGTGCTCATGGCTCAGTCCAAACAGCCTGTAGTCTATGGGGACCCTTTCCAGAGCCGACTTGACTTTGGTCAGGGTGCAGGTAGCCCTGTGTGCCTGGCCCAGGTAAAGCAGGTAGAGCAAGGTGTTCAAACAGCCCCATATCGAAGTGGACCCCGGGGAAGACCCAGGGAGGCCAAGTTTGCCAGATATAACCTACCCAACCAGGTAGCTCCTCTGGCTAGAAGGGACGTCTTGATCACCCAGATGGGCACTGCCCAGGGAGTTGGCCTCAAGCCAGGCCCAGTACCAGAGACTGGTGTTGATCCCCACCGGGCCTCTGCTGCAGAGCTTCGGCCACATGCTGTACCTGGTGCGAGGAAGCCACACACAGTGGTGGTGCAGGTGGGAGAGGGTGCAGCAGGCACCGTGACCACACTGCTCCCTGAGGAGGCATCTGGAGCCCTGGACCTCACCGGGATGAGGCCTGAGAGCCAGCTGGCTTGTTGCGACATGGTCTACAAGTTCCCCTTTGGCAGTAGTTGCACTGGTACCTTCCATCCTGCCCCCAGTGCACCTGAGAAGAGTGTGGCAGATGCTGCTCCACCTGGCCAAAGCAGCAGCCCCTTCTACGGTCCCCGGGACCCTGAGCTTCCTGAGCCCCCCACCTACCGGGCACAGGGAGTAATGGGGCCTGGGCCCCATGAAGAACAGAGGTCCTATCCACAGGCCCTTCCTGGCAGGTTGTACTCCTCCATGTCTGACACCAACCTGGCTGAGGCAGGCCTCAACTACCATGCCCACCGGCTTGGGCAGCTTTTCCAGGGCTCTGGTAGAGACTCTGCTGTGGACCTCAGCTCCCTGAAGCATTCCTATAGCCTGGGCTTTGCGGATGGACGCTACCTAGGGCAGGGCTTGCAGTATGGCTCCTTCACAGATCTGCGTCACCCCACAGACCTTTTGAGTCACCCACTTCCCATGAGGCGCTATAGCTCAGTGTCAAACATCTACACAGACCATAGGTATGGCCCACGGGGTGAAGCAGCTGGCTTCCAGGAGGCTAGCCTTGCCCAGTACAGTGCTACCACAGCTCGAGAAATCAGCCGTATGTGCGCTGCCCTCAACTCCATGGACCAGTATGGTGGGCGGCATGGCAGCAGTGCTGGTAGCTCTGACCTCATGCAGTACCAGCCCCAACCAGGATCTGGCCTCAGTGCCCCGCAAGGTCTGACTCCCCTCAGACCTGACCTCCTTGGGAATCCCACTTTTCCAGAAGGTCACCCGAGTCATGGGAACCTGGCTCAGTATGGGCCTACAGCTGGCCAAGGAGCAGCAGTCAGACAGCTGCTGCCATCCACAGCCACTGTTCGTGCAGCTGATGGTATGATCTACTCAACCATCAATACCCCAATTGCTGCAACACTGCCCATTACCACCCAGCCCGCATCAGTGCTGCGGCCCATGGTGCGTGGTGGCATGTACAGGCCTTATGCTTCTGGTGGAGTGACAGCTGTGCCACTAACCAGCCTGACACGCATGCCCATGATTGCCCCCCGGGTACCTCTTGGGCCCAGAGGGTTGTACCGGTATCCTGCACCAAGCAGATTCCCCACAGCTTCCAGTGTCCCACCTGCTGAGGGTCCTGTCTATTTGGGGAAACCTGCTGCTGCCAAGGTCCCAAGAGCTGGGGGCCCACCAAAGCCAGAGCTGCCAGCAGGGGCTTCAAGGGAAGAAGCCCTTTCCACAGTCACCCCTGCTGCTATCAAGGAGGCTACAGCAGTCCCAGCCCCAGTCCCACTGACTGTCCAGAAGCCTCCGGGAGATGCTGCTCCTGGGCCTGCCAGCGGGGCCCTGAGCCGGCCAGGGCATGAGAAGGAGGAAATCTCACAGGAAGAAAGGCAGCGGAAACAGCAGGAGCAGCTGCTGCAACTGGAGCGGGAACGGGTGGAGTTGGAGAAGCTGCGACAGCTGCGGCTACAGGAGGAGCTAGAGCGGGAGCGTGTGGAACTGCAGAGACACCGTGAGGAAGAGCAGCTGCTGGTGCAGCGGGAGTTGCAGGAGCTGCAGACCATCAAGCACCATGTGTTGCAGCAGCAGCAGGAGGAGCGGCAGGCTCAGTTTGCACTGCAGCGGGAGCAGCTAGCACAGCAGCGCCTGCAGCTGGAGCAGATCCAGCAGCTGCAGCAACAGCTGCAGCAGCAGCTAGAAGAGCAGAAGCATCGGCAGAAGACCCCTTTCCCTGCGGCCTGTGAGGCACCCACCCGAGGGGCTCCCCCAGCTGCCACTGAACTGGCCCAGAATGGCCAGTACTGGCCACCCATGACCCACACAGCTTTCATTGCTGTGGCAGGACCTGAGGGGCCAGGACAGCCTCGTGAACCCGTGCTGCACCGGGGTCTCCCCAGCTCTGCCTCAGATATGTCGCTACAGACTGAGGAGCAGTGGGAACCAAGCCGCAGTGGCATCAAAAAGCGGCACTCCATGCCACGCCTGCGGGATGCCTGTGAGGCAGAGTCTGCACCTGAGCCTTGCATGGTCAAGAGAATTGCAGACAGCAGTGTGCAGACAGATGATGAGGATGGAGAGGGCCGCTACCTCCTGACCCGGCGGCGCCGAACACGACGGAGTGCCGACTGCAGCGTGCAGACTGATGATGAGGACAATGCTGAGTGGGAGCAGCCAGTGCGCCGCCGCCGTTCCCGTCTTTCCCGCCACTCAGATTCAGGCTCTGACAGCAAGCACGATGCCACTGCCTCCTCATCCACCACCGCCACCGCCGCTGCGAGAGCCACGAGCAGTGTGGCCATCCAGACTATCACTGACTGCTCTGTGCAGACAGAACCTGACCAACTGCCCAGGGTCTCTCCAGCCATTCACATCACAGCTGCCACGGATCCCAAGGTGGAGATTGTCAGGTACATATCAGCACCAGAGAAGACTGGCCGTGGGGAGAGCCTAGCCTGCCAGACAGAGCCGGATGCACAGGCCCATGGTGGGGCCGGACCACAGCTGGTAGGGCCAACTGCCATTAGCCCTTACCTGCCTGGCATCCAGATTGTCACCCCAGGGCCGTTGGGCAGATTTGAAAAAAAGAAGCCGGATCCTCTGGAGATTGGGTACCAGGCACACCTGCCCCCTGAATCCCTCTCACAGCTCATGAGTCGCCAGCCTCCTAAATCCCCCCAGGTCCTCTACTCACCAGTCTCGCCCCTGTCCCCACACCGGCTCCTGGACACCTCCTTTGCCTCTAGTGAGAGGCTGAACAAGGCTCATGTGAGTCCCCAGAAGCACTTCACGGCTGACAGCGCTCTCCGCCAGCAGACGCTGCCTCGCCCCATGAAGACCCTGCAGCGGTCCCTGTCTGACCCTAAGCCCCTCAGCCCCACCGCCGAGGAGTCTGCCAAAGAGAGGTTCTCCCTCTACCAGCACCAGGGGGGGCTGGGTAGCCAGGTATGGGCACAGGGGCTGGTCCAGGGTGGGACAGGGATGAATGCCTAGCTTGGGAGTCCTCCCAGGGAGGGGCTTCTTTTGGGGTGGGGGTAGAGTCATCTCAGCTCCAGAGGCCCAGGGGAGGGAGGCAAGGAATGGGTCCTTCTCCATGCAATCTGGTGGATCCCACAGCCTAGCAAGGACAGTCTGGGCATATGCAAGTACACACAGAGGTCCCTTCTGACACCTTGTTGATAACTTCATCCTTTCCCTAGCACTGCCCCTTCACTACCCACACCTAACACAAAGGTCCCATGGGCTGGCCATGCTGACTGCCTCCTGCTTCAGGCCTCTTCAGCTCTCAACTTCAGGCTGGGCCCTCCCACTCTAAACCTTGCCTGTGGCTAGCTCCTGGAAAAATCAGTAGTACAGTCATGGTTGTGAGGCTCCCTACTTCCCAGCTCTGGCCTGGCTTCCACTGCCCCACTGAGAGCCCAAACCCCTTGACCTAGCACATCGCAACCTAGCTGGCTGAAGCTTCTTCTGTGTCTCATCTTGTTCCCTGCTCCTACCTAGCCCTCAATAAGTTTGTTTGCACACCTATCTGCTTTCAAAGACAGGGGCTCCTGGAGCATAAACTTGTCTATATTTGTGGCCTTAGTTGTCAATGATATCCTGGGACTTTATGAGGTGGACTGACTGGGACTGCAGTAGAGGTAAGAATCAGGGGGCTGTAAGGGCCTGACACCAAGGACTTTGGGTATCAGGCTGGAGGAGAGTGGGCTTTTCCTGAAGACCTTGAGAGCTTCTGGAGGTTTTAGGCAAGTGAGACAGGATAAGGTGGTTATTTTAAATAGAAAGTCTCCTGGACAGGCTATATAGGCTGGTGACCTGAAGGAAGCCATCATTGCAGTGACCCTGGGGAGAGGAGGCAGGAATCACAGGCATTACGAGGTTTGCTTGCCCGTCTTCTGGATGTGATGCAGAGAAGAGAGAGAGGTCCTTGGGGTAGGGTTGCAGAGATGATAAGCAGGGATGTTGAAGGGCCCCTGGTATGTGCAGGCCAGGTAGAGCTGGGGATAGAACAGGAGTCTGGGCAGGCAGAGGGGCAGGTCAGGGAGGCACAGTGGTCTTGCTTGGCTTCAGGCTAGGGTAGGGCACAGGTCCTGTGGACTGGACATGCTGTGGCCAAGCCACAAAGGCCACAATGGACACTCATGGGTATGTGGCCAAAATAAGATAAATCACAGAGTAAAAAACTCAAGGTAAATTTATTCAATTAAAGACCTACCCTATTTTCTGAGATCGGGGCTACACTATCTTTTTCTTTTATGATATATGGGGATAGTAGGTGGGAAGTTTGTATGTAGTTTCTTCGCAGGGTAAAAGGTTAGAAGGCCAATGTCCATCCCCTGTGTATTTTGGGTGGTTCATGAAACCCAAAAGCCTGGGGCATTTGGAGAAAGCTAGGATCAAGAGGCAAAATGTGGACCCAGGATGAACTTTCAGGCAATGTGGAGCATCTGGGGTAGGTGAGGAGGGTCCCACAGAGGGCCTTGAGCAGGAAGACATGCAGATAGAACTAATGCTGGAAAGGACCTTCTGGTGGCCCCAGAGAGTAATGTCGGAGTGAGCTGACATGGACAAGGAGAGAGCTGGGAGCTGAGTCAAGAGCTCAGACCAGAGGGTTTGGCAAAGTGGGGTGGTGCTGGATAAGGAGGGTAGGCAAGCAACATAGCAATATGTCACTTTAGCGAGGAGTTTAGGAGACACAAGATGTGGCTTGCCACAACTGACATGCAATCAGCATGTGACCCTTTACATGTTCCTCTGGGAGCTTGCTGAGCCCACTCAAACCCACTCCATTCCTCCTGTCCATGGCCCTCCTTCACCCTTGGTCCCCACTAGCTGCCAGGACCCAAACCCAAAGCAAGACCTATACTCTCTTCACTTCAGTGGGAGATGGAGGATGGCAGGCCTCAAGATTCTCAGGGGTTCTCAGAGCCACATGTTGAACACTTCAGTGTGCCAGGCCAGTACTGGTCCAGCACAGAGGGGAATCTGCCTCGTTCCTATTCTCCCATTGCTCAGAGTGTTTGGAAGGAGGAGGCCTGTCAAATGATTGCAGGCCTTCCCTCAGTGGCAATGGGTTTGTAAAGACCAGTGGGTGGGGAGGGCAGGCATACAGACTACCTGGTGAATCAAGGTACTGATACAACGGGGCCTGGCCCCTGCCCCAGTGCAAGCCTGGGCTCTTCCTCCCCACATCCTGCTAAGCCACCCACACCTTGGATCTCAGTGCTGCCCGCCCTTCCCTCTGTCTCAGGTGTCGGCGCTGCCACCCAACGGCCTGGTCCGCAAGGTGAAGCGGACACTGCCCAGCCCCCCTCCAGAGGAGGCTCACCTGCCCCTGGCCAGTCAGGCCACCCCACAGCTGTATGCGGCCAGCCTGTTGCAGCGTGGGCTGGCGGCACCCACCGCCATCCCTGCCACTAAAGCTAGCCTGCTCCGGGAGCTGGACCGGGACCTGCGGCTGGTGGAGCATGAGTCCACCAAGCTGCGCAAGAAGCAGGCAGAGCTAGATGAGGAAGAGAAGGAGATCGACGCCAAGCTTAAGTACCTGGAACTGGGCATAACGCAACGCAAAGAGTCTCTGGCAAAGGATCGGAGTGGCCGAGACTACCCTCCCTTGCGTGGCCTTGGTGAGCATCGAGACTACCTGTCAGACAGCGAGCTCAACCAGCTGCGTCTCCAGGGCTGCACCACTCCTGGTGGCCAATATGCAGACTTCCCTGTAGCTGCTGTTCCTGCCACCCCCTCTGGCCCCACTACCTTCCCGCAGTCCCGGTTCCCATCTCCAGCATCACAGTACTCTGCAGGCACTGGTGAGCCAAGTCAAAATGGATATCCAGCCCACCAGACACCCACCTACCCTGGTCCTAGCACATACCCAACACCCGCCTATCCTCCTGGCACCAGTTACCCAGCAGAGCCTGGGCTACTGAGCCAACAAGCTTTCCGTCCCACAGGCCACTATACAGCCCAAACACCCGTACCAACCACACAAAGTACCCATTTCCCTGTCCCAGCTGACAGCCGGTCCCCCCACCAGAAGCCACGCCAGACATCACTAGCTGACTTGGAGCAGAAGGTGCCCACCAACTATGAGGTGATTCCCAGCCCTGTCGTGGCCATGTCGTCAGCCCCCTCTGACACCAGCTACAGTGGCCCAGCAGTGAGCAGCAGCTATGAGCAGGGTAAGGCCCCTGAGCTTCCCCGGGCCAGTGAGCGTAGCAGTGTGAGCCAGAGCCCAGCCCCCACCTATCCCTCTGACTCACACTACACCAGCCTGGAGCAGAACGTTCCTCGGAACTATGTGATGATCGATGACATCAGTGAGCTGACCAAGGACAGTGCCTCCACTGCTCCTGAAACCCAGCGCCTGGAGTCCCTGGGGCCAGGTGGCAGTGGACGTCCAGGGAAGGAAACTGGAGAGACAGGTGTCCTAGAGGGTCCTGCATTGCCTTGCTGTTATGCCAGAGGGGAGGAGGAATCTGAGGAGGATGCATATGACCCTCGAGGGAAGGGTGGCTACCACCGAAGCATGGAGAGCAACGGTCGGCCAACCAGCACCCACTACTATAGTGACAGTGACTACAGACATGGAGCTAGAGCAGACAAGTATGGTTCTAGCCCTATGGGGCCCAAGCATCCCTCCAAGAGCATGGCCCCAGCTGCCGTCTCCTCCAAGCGCAGCAAGCACCGAAAGCAGGGCATGGAACAAAAGATCTCCAAGTTCTCCCCTATCGAAGAGGCCAAGGATGTAGAGTCAGACCTGGCCTCCTACCCTCCATCTGCAGTCAGCAGCAGCCTAGGCTCTCGAGGCAGGAAGTTTCAGGATGAAATCACCTATGGACTCAAGAAAAACGTGTATGAGCAGCAGAGATATTATGCGGTGTCCAGTCGGGACTCAGCCGAGGAAGATGACCGCATGTACAGTGGAAGCAGCAGGTCCCGGGTGGCTTCTGGGTACAGTGGGGAGAAGCTATCCAGTCATGACTTCAGTGGCCGCACTAAAGGGTATGAGCGGGAACGGGAGGCTGTGGAGCGGCTTCAAAAAGCAGGCCCCAAGCCCTCCTCCCTGAGCATGGCCCATGGCCGGGCACGGCCCCCCATGAGGAGCCAAGCCTCAGAGGAGGAGAGCCCTGTAAGTCCCTTAGGGCGGCCCCGCCCCGCCGGGGGACCCCTCCCTTCTGGGGATACCTGCCCACAGTTCTGCAACAGCCACTCCATGCCTGATGTCCAGGAGCATGTCAAAGATGGACCACGGACCCACACATACAAGCGTGAGGAGGGCTACATCCTGGATGACTCCCACTGCGTGGTTTCCGACAGCGAAGGTAATGGCAGCTGGGGGTGATTTCTGTGGATGCTCAGCACCTGGGGGACCTTCCAGACTGTGGGGTCCTGGGCCCCAAGATGTTCCTTCAGGGCCTGGCCTGATGCCTCACCCAGTGGACCCTGTTGCAGACTGCCCTCCTTGCCTGCCCACTTGCACTCCTGGCCCTTGGTTGTTGGAGGGTGGGCTCAGGCTCCAGTGCTCTGCTTGTGTCTGTGGTGCCCACTCTCTGGTTTCCCTGCATGGCTTCAGCTGGGCCTCCCCCCTGCGGCCAGCCCCAGGGGTTGATGATGTTCTATTTTTGGTCTCTGAAGCTTATCACCTGGGCCAGGAGGAGACAGACTGGTTTGATAAACCCCGGGATGCCCGCTCTGACCGGTTCAGGCACCATGGGGGCCATGCAGTCTCCTCCTCCCAGAAGCGAGGCCCTGCCAGGCACAGCTACCATGACTACGATGAGCCTCCTGAAGAGGGCCTGTGGCCACATGATGAGGGTGGCCCAAGCCGCCATACCTCAAACAAGGAACACCGGCACCACAGTGACCATGGGCGGCACTCAGGTCGCCACGTTGCAGAGGAGCCAGGCCGGCGTGCTGCCAAACCTCACGTCCGGGACCCAGGTCGCCATGAAGCCCGGCCCCACACTCAGCCTGGCCCTGGCCCAACTATGCAGAAGAAGGGTCAGTCTGGGTACCCCAGCTCTGCTGAATACTCACAGCCATCTCGTGCTCAGTCAGTGTACCATCATGCCTCTGACAGCAAGAAGGGCTCCCGGCAGGCCCACTCTGGGCCCCTCTCTGCAGCGCAGCCAAAGCCAGAACCCCAGCCACAGCCACAAGGTCGGCAGGCACCTCCAGGGTCACAGCAGTCCCACCTGCCACTCTCCAGGCAGGGGCCCTCAGCGACAGCATCACGCCAATCACAGCAGCAGCAGCAGCAGCAGCAGCAGCAGCAGCAGCAGCAACAGCAGCAGCCTTCCCAGCAGGCCCCATCGCAAGCTCGGCTGCAGCAGCAGGGCCAGACAGCCGCCCGGGGTCAGGTCCCTGCTGCCAGCCAGACAGCAGGGAAACCTCAGCCAGGGCCCACAACAACCTCTGGTCCCCAGCCAGCAGGGACAGTAAGTAGGACCCTGGTGCACACGGTATAGGAGGGGGTCTGAAGCATGGATCCTATCCAAGTAGACTAATTCCTTAGCTCTAGGCCGAGTAGGATAAGAGTCAACAGGTGGCATCTCAGCTGTGGATTCTGTGTTACAGCCCCGGGCAGAACAGGCAAACGGCTCTAAAGCGACAGCCAAAGCACCCCAGCAAGGGAAGCCACCTCAGGCCCAGCCACCTCCAGGACCTGGACCTGCAGGTGAGTCCAACCCTTGATGCCTTTGACTGTGGGCTGCCCTCCCAACTCCATTGTTCCTTGCATTTCCCCCACTGTTATTCTTCATTGCTTCTTGAGAAGGTGTCCAGTGGGCTGCAGACCTCCCCAAAAGAAAACTAGCATGGGATTAGAATTCTAGAACATAGTCAACAGAATCACCAGTTCTGGGGCTGTAGAGCCCAGGGAGCTCCTTTCCCTCTCCTGTTTTCCTCTCTCCTCCACTCCTCTGCCTTATCCTCTCTGTCTTTTCCTTCACCTTCCTCATCCTCCTCTTTTTCACCTTCTCTTCTGGTTCTTTCTTTGTCTCTTTATTCCTCCATCCTCTTCTTACTCTCTCACCTCACAAGATTCCCTCATGGCTGCTTTCCCACTGAGACCCTGCATGGTTCCTGATGGTGGTTTCTTTCCCCCTTAGGCATGAAGGCTGGAGCCAGGCCTGGTGGGACCCCAGGGGCTCCTGCCGGCCAACCAGGTACCGAAGGGGAGAGCGTATTCTCCAAGATCCTCCCTGGTGGGGCAGCAGAGCAAGCCGGCAAGCTGACGGAAGGTGTGCACTGCCAAGGATCAAGTCCATGTGGGCAGCTGCTCTTGTGGAGGTTGGGTCATAGGGATGATTCCAGGCTCAGTCACCTAGCTGTGGACCAGCCTGAGGGCCCAACTGCTGCTGCTTGTGGGCCTCAAGCAGCCCCTTGCCCCTCAGCTGAGCGTGGCGTTGCTATGCCAGATGGCCCTGACTAGGAGAGGGTCTGGCCCAATTTCCTGATGTCTCTCTTCTCTTTCTATGTCACAGCTGTCTCTGCTTTTGGCAAAAAGTTTTCCTCCTTCTGGTGACCGTGCCCAGCCGGGTGAGTATGATGGCCCTGACCTGGCCCCTCCTGGGGAAGGCTTGAGGTGCTGCTGTGCAGGCTATAAATCCCAAGAGGTCCTTTGGGCGTTGTCTGGACCTTAGCCAGTCATGGAGCCAGAGACACAGTGAGACACAGTGATGTCTTTCACAAGTGTCAAAGGAAGATGACAAGGAGGGACCCAGTGTGAAGCTGGCTCGTTAGAGATCCCAGTAAAAAGTAGCTAGGGCAACATTCCCTATCCTTCCCTGCTGCCTCCTTAAACACAGTCCCTGCAGAGCTGGCTCCCACAGCTCCAGGATGGCAGTGAGTTGTCTTAAGGCCCTCTGGGATGGGGTTTCTCCGTAATCTTTCTTTGTAAATGCTCCACAGGCTTTTGAAGAGAGGGCTGAAGGTGATATCATTGCTGTGGAAAAATCTCTGGAGTCCGAGGCCTGGGCACAGCTCTGGACTCTGCGTATAACAGTGAGTATCAGGACCTGGGTGATGTGGAGTAGGGATGGGTGGGATGGGGAGTTGAGGGGTGGGGTTGAAGGGCTGAGACCTGGCCGACCAGACCCACCCAGTTTCTATACATGTGAACTGGGAGGGGCCTGGTGGGTTCTTTAGCTGTGACAAAGCCGAGCAGTTTTCTGGAAGGCAGGGGCCACTGAGCTGACTGAGATGGTGACAGATGACTCAGGCTGTACCCCTTGGGGGAGGACAGAGCAAGTGGGTGTGTCACACAACTTAAGGTCTGTGTCCAAAGCTGTCCTAGAGTAGAGGGTGGCCCATGGCTCTGGGAGAGTGTGGAGCATGCCCCTTCCCTGATTTCTTTGTTCTATCCATTCACTAATGGGAGAAGCCAGAATCCCAAAATCCTGTAAAGCTTAGCAGCCCTAGCCATGACATCAAGACACTGTTGGTTTTCATAGGCTGAGCTCAAAGGTACTGATGGAAGAACAGAAAAAGTGGAAAGGCAGACAGGAAAAGGACAGAGAAGAAAGGGAGTTCACTTACACAGAGAACCTCAGCCCCAGACAAGGTCAGCCAGGGAGAGAGTAGAAAGGCCTTGGACTAGGAGCCTTGACTGTCTGGCCTGCCAGGAGCCAAGGCAGGGTGGGACACCACCTCCTGGATTCTCCCCTTGCTCTGAGGGAGACGGAACAACATCCACCACTATTCCATAGCCCTGGGGCCCTTCCCTTCCCCCTTCTTTGCTATTTCTAGAGTATTTCTTAAGGTGGGCAGATGTGTGTATGTGGCATCTGTGACCAGGGCCAAGCAGTCAGGAGGTCACTTCAAGGGAGCCCTGGTGCTGACAGGAATCCTTACCCTGACCAAGCCTGCTTGTGGTAGGCACAGAGCTGGGTGCAGTGCCTTAATTGCAGCCTGTCTCTGGAGGAACAGTGCTGGACCAGAAGGCTCTGTCTTCCTTCCATTCACTTATGTATTTCACAAACATTTGTCATGTCCCAGGTATGTGCTGGGCCCTATCCCAGGTGCTGGGGGTATAGCGTATAGCAGGGAACAAAAGCAAGTTCCTGCCCTACAAAGCTGAGGGTCCATTAAGGGAGACAGAGAATAAATAAATTCAAAAATTAAAATTAAATTCTGAAAGTGAAAAAGTTTTGTGAAGCTGGTAAATCAGGGTTATGAGTCAATGGGGCTCTAGAGAAGGTGGTCCTACCTGCAGGAATGTGAGGTAATGCCGCCGGAGGAGAGATTGCTATGGACCATGCCTGGATAAGGGAGAGAGATTCTGAGGCCTGGAAGAGACTGGTAGCCTATAGAGTCAGTCAACAGACTAGCCACAGTGAAGCGCCATCAGGAATGAAATCAGGTGTTAGCTGGGGTGGGCATTACAGGCAAAAGTAAAGAGCCTGGAATTATTCTAATTTTAGTCACCACAGTGCGGTGCCCCCAGCAGGCTTCCCTGCGGTATTTCCTGCTCAGCTGGATGTTTCCTCAAAGTTGCCCTGGAACAGATGGGAAATCAGAAGCAATGATGAGGAGAGGGTAATTAAGGGACTGCTATGGTCCAGGTTCAAAACTTTGGGTTTGGGACTAGGCACTATCACTGGGGAAAGAAAGCCACAGGTGTGGCTTTGTTTTGGGTCCTGCCACATAGCATGTGTGGGCCACTTAGACCACTTGATGTTGTAGTTAAAAGAATCACCTTCAAGTTTTGGCGTTTGATAATGATTGGACCAAGTGATCAGCCCTGCTATGAGTGTCATATCCTGGTGTCTTTTGTGGCTCTTCCAGAGATGGTCTGGAAACACCTTACAAGGGGAAAGGCTTTCCATGTAAACAAAATCCCACATTTCCCACACTTGAGCAAAACAAAAGGTAATTTGTGTTACATTAAAAGAATGCCCACACATAACGAAACACCTTGAAGGGATGAGTCACTAGACCTGGAGGCTCAGAACCATGGTCTCAGTGGACACCAGGTCAATTGGCAGAAATAGAAAATGTAATTTAAAAAAGGAGAAGAAAGTCCCTTCCCAACCAACCTGTCTCTCCTTTCTTAACCTCTCTCTGTGACCTCAAACCTGTCTAAGCGTCCACCTCCCCAGCCTCGGTAGTTTGGGAGCCAGTGGAGAGGAGGAGTTCAATTCTCAGGATGGCACTTGGCAAACTGCTGAGAGGAATGTGAGGGTGGAAAGCAGCTGTCCACAGTTCTTGACAACTCCTTTTTTCTTTCCTTCCTTCTTCCCTCCCTCTCTGTCTCTCTTTTCCCTTCCAAGCATCTACAGTCTGGTAAACCCTGGCCCCAAGACTCATACCAGGTGGGACGTGGCAGGCAGATCCTCAGGTGAGGACAGGATGCTTTTTAAACAGCAGCTGCCTGCAGGAAGCATCTCTTGGACAAGTGAGACCACTGACCCAGAGGGCTTTGATTGTCTTTCCAGAGACCCTGCTCTCCTCAGAGTCCTCTCTGGAACCCCTGCCACCACTTAGCTGTCTTGCCACTCTTCCCACAGCCTCCTTTGTGTGCCCTGGCTGACCAGGCTTCCAATGCGTTATACACAGAGTTTGGGCGCATGCTGCCCGTTTTTGACCGACACTGCCCTCCCTCTGTGATGCCAGAAGTTTTTCCACAGCTTTGGAGAGGAGCTTTGACTGAGGGCTGGGGGCCCTGGGCTCCGTTTCCTTCACATTCCAGCTGGCCCGGATCCCTCTGTGACCACAGTGTCCTGCCTCTCTCACCTTGATCTCTGGGTGACCGTGGGGTGGACCTCCATGTGGCCAGTGTGGGGTTGGGAGAACTTTACAAACATTAGGACCTAACACTGTCTCTTCGCTGAAATAAGAGGCCATAGCACCGAAAAGCAGCGTGGGCGCCTGCTGAGGCTTCTCCCAGCCCATAGGTGGCAAGGTGCCAGCACGCCCGCCACCATCTCAAAGCCATCCCCTCATCCCCAGTCATTGTGAGCATCCCAGCGGCACCGCCACTGTCTCAACCAGCCGGCTCTTCGTCTGTACACCTGGGGATTTCTTTTAATTTCAAGAACAGCCTTAATCATTCCAGTTTAATTTACGTGTATACCTCATAAACATTTTTCTTTTGTTTCTCTTTCTCCCCTTTCTTCTCTTTGCTTGCCCCCTTGCCTCCCTTCCACCTTGTGACTGATGGTTTGGTTTCCCCTCTGCTCTGCCCCTGCTAAGCACAGGGAGACAACGACTCAGAAGCAATAGTGGGCAGCAGGCCACCAAGAGCACAACCCCAGGGCGAGGTCTAGGGAGGCCCCTCAGCCCGCCTGTGTTTACTGTGCAATTCCAGTCCTTCTTAAGCCATCACCAGTGGGCGTGCTCAGAGCAGAGGGGCCAGGGCTTCTGCCAGCAAAGGGAAAGGCCCAGAGCCCTGTATGGGGAAGTTTGCCACCCGCCACCCACCTGGTGGGCTGGACACATTACTCCCCAGGGCCCTTCCCTTGGGGGCTTCCCGCCATCTTGGGCACAGCCACAAGTCTCATCTCTAATGTTCTATGCAATGAAATATAAACCTTCAAAGACAACTGTTAATATTTAATAAATTCCTTGTTATGTATAAGGATTTAATTGCAGATGTGCAATTGAGAAACAGGATAGATATGCTCACATCACCCTCCCCAGCCCTCTCCCTGACTCCCACCGTGTGTGTGAAGTTCTCAGTCTGTGGCATGTTTGACCTGTGGCAGGACTCGCTGCTGCCAGGTGAGTCACCACCTGTCCCACAGCGGAGCATGCACAGCTCGCAGCCTCTTTGCACGATTTCATCCATTTAAAAATGCTCAACCCTCTTGCTTGGAGTTCTTTTTGCCCTCAGGAGTGCTTCTATCTGACTTCTGCACGAGCTAGTGAGAATCTGCCAGAATTGCCACTGGAATGTGCCAAGCTGTGGGGCAGGCAGCATGAGGCCTCACACCCCCCGCAGGCCTCTCTGTCCAAGAATGGCATGCCAGGAGTCCCTGGAGTAAACATGCTAGTAGGAGCCTGCACAGGATGTATGTGCGTGAATGTTCTGAAAGTGGACAAAGGCTTTCTGTGTCATGTTGTTCCTCCTGTCCCACCCCTGAACCAGTAGTGTCTGCTTGTACCTTCACAGTAGGGTATATCTGTGGACACAAGGGTGGCAGCCATGAGCAAGGCCTTGCTGTGTCCTCAGGACACAGCTCCTGACTGCACCTGCTCCATGCCTCTCCCCTGTGGTTGAGGCTCATAGGTCTTTGAGCCAATGGATCTGGGCTGGGGACACAGGGGCTGAAGGGTGTTCTGAAAAAGCTGAGCCTTTGGTGCTGTGTGGAGGGCAACTGGCAATGTCATCAGGGGCCAGAACAGGTGAACTATTGACATGAGTCAAGCTGAGTTTCCCGGAAAGCTTTTCATTGACAAATGTTATAGAAGGTCCTGTGTGGCCCTCTCTGCATTTGTCTCTAGGACCTATCATCCCTGCCCACCGCATCTCTGAAGCTCTAGTACTCCATTACTCGTTAGCTTCTCCACCACTGAGCCAGGAAT